CCGCGATACCCACCCCCTCCCCGCTGTAGCGGGTCCGATTGTCGGCGACGGCGGCGAGGGATTTGAGGAAGGGGAACATGGTCACTTGGCTGTGCCGCCAACAACCCGCCAACAGCCGAACCTTGACCCGGCGTTCAAAGATGGCTTTCCGCAGCCGGTTATCGATCGCCGGCCAAAATCTGGGGAGGGCAAGCAGTTAGGCATCGCCGCTGCAGGCAGCCGGGGGTTGACACCGGGCCACACAAACCTTTGGGGGTGGGAGAATTCGGTGGTGGGTAGGTAGCTCATCACCGCGATGTCGATGAAGTCCTCGGCAGCATCGATGACGCTGAGGAGGGCGCCAAGATCTTGGGTCCGACCGGCGGCACAGAGAGGCGGCGGGGAGCTCTGCCAGAATCACGGGAGGTGGATCAAGCACCGGCACAGCCAATCCTCGGCACCGGGAAAAGCCACCACGGCGGATCGGGGACGTACCGAGAAGTAGACAGCGGCATCGGTGTCATTGAGCTTCAACTCCAACGGCGTCTCCATGTTGAAGGTGGTGGAATAATTTGCCGGCCACGGTACCGGAATGGAAGCGCCGGGAACGCCAAGAGCCCAATAAGCTTCAAAAATTTTGCCTAAATCTTTGGCCAAGCAGCTGCAGTTGTAGACAGCGGCGCCAAGCTCCTTCACCTGCAGCGGGTGGCACTGTCGCGTCACCGCGATCACCCCTCTCCAACGCCCTTAGGCCATTGGGCGTCCCTTGACGGGGATGGGGGGTTGGTTTTGGGATGGCCCCAGCGCCGTTCGGCACATGTTGGGCGCCATCCGGTGGTGTGACGGCGCTGCGGCATCGCTCACCTGGGTCAACGACCTCCAGTCCATGTTGGCGCTCCCAATGTAGAGGTGGGTGCCGTCAACGAGCCAAAACTTGGTGTGCAGCACGCCACCGGTGAGCTGCGGCATATCAACGACGCGCACCGCGGCACCTGCGTGACCACGACTTGGGCATCTCCCACCCAAAATCCCCCACCGCGCCCAGCCTGGGGGTTTTTTTTGGGTTTTTTTCCGTCACTCACCACTCCGCTCCAGCACTTGGAGATCGTTCAGGGGCGATTTTGAAGACGGGCGGCTGACGGCAATTCGGACGGCGACGCCACGCTGGGCTAATTGGAGAAGTTCCTCCAGGATTTGTTCACCCTGAATCAGGTTTGAGGTCAAAAAAAAAACCCCCAGAAATGATTAAAAATCCTGGGAAAGCAAGAAAATGGCAG